GCGGCACCTTTGGAAAGTGCCTGAAAAAACATATAGCATGGGTTGAGCCAAGCCTTGTAAGTGAAATTGGTTAGACAGAACACTTGGGAGCCGTTGATATGTGTGCTAGCACGAAGTCACAAGTCATCGTGACCGATGGGTTGAGTGTGCTGGTGCTGTTCAGATTGTTAATCATGCTAGATAACGCGCTCTCTCCCAGAAACTTTAACTAAGATCTTATAAAGGTTTGCGCAGTGGCTATTTTCCCATCCTCTCTATCTCTCTCTCTCTCTCTCTATACACACACACACACACACACACACACACACACACATATATATATATATATATATATATATATATATATAAGTGGTCATTGAGCGGTGAGAGTCTGTTTCATGCTTAAACGTAATCGTCAGACCTGATATATATGAACATACACATATACACATACACATGCATACATGTGTATGCACACACACATACGCACACACACACACTCAAACACATATACACATACACATGCGTACATGTGTATGCACACACACATACGCACACACACACACTCAAACACATATACACATACACATGCGTACATGTGTATGCACACACACATACGCACACACACACACTCAAACACATATACACATACACATGCGTACATGTGTATGCACACACACATACGCACACACACACACACAAACAAACACATATACACATGCACACACACATACGCACATGTGTATGCACAAACACATATACACACACACACACACACATCAAACACACATATACACATACACATGCATACATGTGTATGCACACACACATACGCACACACACACACTCAAACACATATACACATACACATGCATACATGTGTATGCACACACACATACGCACACACACACACTCAAACACATATACACATACACATGCGTACGCACACACAAAGAAGAAAAATCAACCTAACAACAATTAAAAGGGCATAACTTTCTTTTTTTTACTTAATATAAAAATAACGAAAATGAGAAAATCGGTAGACACTTGCTGATACCTCCTGACGAGTGGAACGAATGATTACAAAAAGCTTCGTCTACTAATCTCTGAAGACGGAGTGCTGAATATAACATCAGTCAGACGGTGGAGTAATGGATCGTGGCTTGGATTGAGAAGTCGGAGAGCCGAGTTCGAATTCCTGTTGAATCCATTACATTCCATTACGTGCTAATATCCTTGGGAAAGGTATGGATCCTCTTCTTTCCCTCCCCCTGCTATGAGTAAATAGCAGGATAGATCGGGTTCTATAGTGTTGGATGGCAACTGGTCTACCGTAAAATGAAATGGCAACCTACTGCGGGGAAAAAAATCTGCCTCGTCAGTCATGTATCGAAAGATATATGATCGCCTACGCGTGTATCACGCATGGCACATAACTGAATCGGAGAGCCGAGTTCGAATTCTATTGAATCCATTACATTCACTTACTAATATCCTTGGGAAAGGTATGAATCCTCTTCTTCTCCCCCCCCCCGCCACCAGGTATGGGTAACTAGCAGGACAGATAGGGTTCTCTAGCCTTGGATGGCAACTGGTCTGCCGCAACAACAAATGCCAACCTACTGCGATAAAATCTGCCTCGTCAGTCATGTATCGAAAGATACATGATCGCTTAAGTGTATTCCGCATGGCACATAACTTACTGACAGGTAAGTGAAAGATTTTAGATTTTTATTAATCCAATATCCTAATGTACACTAAATTTGCGCCCTTCTCCGAGGTTTTTTATAACACTATTGGACTCTACTTTGAATAATAAGAATGTATTTAGCTCTAACTTGATTCCTCTTGCTTTTGTGACCTTCTGGTTCAGTTTTCGTCTTTACTGTTCCCTCTTTTAAAAACATATTCACCATTCTCTTGATTGTTCTTGAATGGATTTTGAAGACAGAAGCCAGGCTATGAATTGTTGGTACCATTACTGAAAGCCAGAATGATCTTTTTCCTCTCATTATTGAGCAGTTGGTAAGGCAGAAGCGCTGACACAAAACGATTTTCACCTTTTCTCTTTGAGGCTGAATAACTCAAAGGTTTTGTTCAGTGATTCTTACGACAAATAGTGTCAAGATGGCTCAACGTCTTATCCGAAAACCTGGAAAAAAGAAACTCAATTAGTTTAGTGTGTGTGTATTTTTTTTTTAAATATTAAATATTTTGTGGGATGGACAATTATCCCATGCTGTTACACGATTTGAACAATTTTAGTGTTACACCTAGTATATATATATCAGGTCATCCCATAAGTTCTGTCCGAATTTTGAATAAAGAAAACAAGTGACTAAATGTTACATTTAATTACAGATTCGATCATCAATGTATTTTCCCTGATTATCTATGACTTCCTTCCATCTATTAACAAGCGCTTACTAATTCCATTACTGTAAAATTCTTTTGGCTTTGATTCGAAGAACTCACAAATGTCAGTTTTAACCTCTTCCTGTGTTACAAAAGCTGTTTCTTCCAAATGATTTTGTAAGCTACGAAACAAATGGTAGTCTGAAGGAGCAAGATCGGGAGAATAAGGTGGATGAGGAATTTTCTCCCAACCAAGTTTTTCGAGCTTTTGCGACGTGATTCTTGCTGTGTGAGGTCGCGTATTGTCCTGATAAAACATCACCTCTTTTCGATTGACTAGAGCAGGTCTTTTTTCCTTCAAAGCTTGGTTCAAACGCTCTAATTGCTGACAGTATATTTAAGCATTAATTGTTGAATTAAGTGGTAAGAATTCACTGTGGATTATTCATTGGCGATCCCACCAGATTGAAAGAAGAACCCTTTGCCTATGAAGTTCCCTTCTCGGCTGTGGCTGGGATCCTTCCCCTTTACCAAGCCAGTCTATGACGCTTAACATTTCGATAAAAGATCCATTTTTCGTCGCCAGTCACAAGTCTATCCAAAAAAGGTGAAACAAGTTGGCGAGAATGGAGAGAAGAGCAGATGTCAACTCGGGATTTGAGGTTATTTCCAGACAATTCATGAGGCACCCATTTTCCAAGTTTAGGAACTTTTCCAAGTTGTTGAAGATGACGATGAACAGTTGTATGGTTTGAACTGAGAACCACTGCCAATTCCTCGACTGATGAAGCAGGATTTTCTTCAAGGGCTGCTTCAAGAAGCTTTTCATCAAACTCAACTGGACGTCCGGTTCGATCTTCATCTTCAAGGGTGAAATCACACATTCCTCTCCATAAACTGAGTTAATGTTTCTAGCCGCTTCGGCTGCTGAGTTTCCTTTCTTGAACTCATAAAGCATTATGTGCCTCAAATGATTCTTGGGTACTTCTATGTTAGCAGCGTTTTAATCAAACAAAATTTAATTTTATTGTTCTCTGAAATAAAATTTGATCAGTTTAAGTTCATCTAAACATAAAAATAATGTTCAGCTCCATGAGACATTATAAAATACTCTTTAAATTTCGTTCATTTTAACAAAAGTTAAAATTCGAACACCTGATATATATATATATATATATATATATATATATATATATATATATATATATATATATATATATATATATATATGTATAAATACTTTCATAAAAAACATTATTTTTTCATTTGCAACTTTATATATATATATATATATATATATATATATATATATATATATTTGAGGTCACACCACAAACTCGCTTTCACGATGCTTGACTCTACATTTGAATGATAGCTCTAACATTTTATTCATTTAAAACAACATGCCTGGCCGCGTACACAATTCCGGAAAATCCTCGTTGAAAACACAACTATAAACACGAAAGCAATAAACAAAAACTAAAAATTCTTGAAGCTATATACATAAAACAGTTGAAACCTGAACAAAATAAAATATGAAATCTCCACAAATATTCTTAATTGTGCCTAACATAAGCCATTGGTTTATACCAACGGCTTCCCATACTTAATACTTCACGTTTTCCCTCTCGCGTGTTCATGTGTGACATCACGAGCTGCGATGCGATTTTCGCTTCCGCGTCTCGTATACACGAGATTGTCGTTGCTTTGAAATTTTTCATGCAACAAAAAATAGACTATCATTATTGTTTTGTCCATGTATTGTTTGATATATTGAAATGTAATTGTCATCTTTAATAATGGCTTATATAGGATTAAAACATGTATCAATATGGCGATTTCCTTTCGTCTTTCAATGATAATGTTATTAAGCTTATCAGACAATATGAAAGGAACTTACTTAAAATAAATAGACAAAACTTGTCTATATTATTTAATGAAACATGCATCAATAAAAAAATTCTGCCTAAATACACAAAATATATATGTGTGTGTGTGTGTGTGTGTGTGTGTGTGTAGCCTATATATAGAGACATAGGGAGGGAGAGATAGATATATAATGGCGTATAGAAATTAAGACCGCATAGATGAATATACAGGGTGTGGCCGAAATACCTCCCACATACGCCTCCTAGTAATACTTCCCACGTAGTGCCAGTGCCAATGGTGTCTTAATCTAATTAATCTCTTACCATCATGTGGAAGGCATTTCTTGGAGGGATATGTGGTGGGCGGCATCTCTCTCATTCTCTTTCTCTTTCCCTCTCTCTCACAAAGACATTCAAAACTGATATATCTTTTTCGTTATTTTCCCTGTCACTTCCTTTCTCTCCCTCACTCTCTCTCTCTCCCTCTCTCTCTCTCTCTCTCTCGCTCTCTCGTTCCCTTTTTCTCTCTTTCTCATTCTCTCTTTTTATCTTTCTCTTTATTTGTTTCCTAGTGCCTATCTCTCTTACTCTCTCTTTCAGTCTCTCTTTCTCTTCAGCACTCTGTATGTTCTTGGTCCTCCAATCTTCTCTTTTTTTTTCCAGTTCTTTCTCACTCTTTCTCTTTCATTCTCTCACTCTCTTTCTCTTTTTCTCTCGCTCGCTCGCTCTCTCTCACACACACACACACATCCAATATTGATATATCTTTTTCTTTATTCTTTCTGCTACTCCCTACCTATGTCTATCACTCTCTCTCTCTCTCTCTCTCTCTCTCGTTCAATTTCCCTTTCTCTTTCTCACGTTCTCTCTCTCTCTCTCTTCAGCGATAATCTATCTCGTTATTTGTTTCCTGATAGCCATCTGTGTAACTCTCTCTTTCTCTTCAACACTAGTCCCCTGTCTTTCTCTCTTTTCCCCCTATTTCTGTCTCTCACTCTCTCTGTCTCTTTCTCTCTCTTATTCTCACTCACACACACACACACACACAACACTGATATATCTTTTTATTATTTTACCTGTTACCCCTACGTATATCTCGTACAATCTCTCTTCTCTCGTTCCCTTTTCTCTCTCTCTCTCTCTCTCTTTCTCTTTTTACTCTATCTGTCTGTCTGTCTGTCTGTCTGTCTCTCTCTCTCTCTCTCTCTCTCTCTTCGGTGCTAATCTATCGTTCCCTTTATTTGTTTCCTGCTTGCCATTTCTCTTTTTTATTGTCTCTTTCTTTTCGCCACTGATGTATGTTACTGGCCCTCCATCTTCCTCTCTTTTTCCATAGTTACCTCACTCTTTCTCTATCCCCCTCTCTCTCCCTCTCTTACTCTCTCTCAGTCTCTCTCTTACTCTCTCTATCTCTATCTCCCTCTCCCTCTTCAGTACTGATGTATGCTACTGGCCTTCCATCTTCCTCACTTTTTCCATAGTTATCTCACTCTCTTTCTCTATCCCCCTCTCTCTCTCTCTTACTCTCTCTCACTCTCTCTCTCTTACTCTCTCTCTCTTACTCTCTCTCTCTTACTCTCTCTCTCTCTATCTCCCTCTCCCTCTCTCTCTTCAGTACTGATGTATGTTACTAGACCTCCATCTTCCTCTCTTTTCCCATAGTTATCTCACTCTCTTTCTCTATCCCCCTCTCTCTCTTACTCTCTCTCTCTCTATTACTCTCTCTCTATATCTCCCTCCCTCTCCCTCTCTCTCTCCTCAGTACTGATGTATGGTACTGGTCCTACATCTTTCTCTCTTTTTTCCCAAGTTCTCTGTCTCACTCTCACATTCTCTCTCCCCTCTCTCTCTCTCTCCTTTCTCACTTTCTTTCTTTCTCTCTCTACCCCTGTCTTTATCCTTGTCTTTATCCCTCTCTGTCCCCTCTCTATCTCTCTTTATTACTGATGTATCTGTCTATTTACCTATCCCCTGACTCTCTCTATTTCACCGTCTGATTTTGCAACGAAATTCGTTCCTCTCGCCCGCCTCCATACATTTTCATTTCATAATATCGTTCCTATTCAATTCCCAATGTTGCTTAATCTACGGCCATTTCTATCGATTAACGATAATCTTTGCTCTCCTTAGACTTTGACGACACGTTCATTTTTTTTTTCATTTCTTTCTTTGCAGAGAGAATTCCACTATTTTATTCGTCTGCCATTGGCTTCTTTTGCGACACACGCCTGAATGAAGAAACTTCTCCATATCTTCTTAATATAGTCTGACTTACCTCACACACAAGCAGACACACAAATTCATACATGCATACACACACACACACACACACACACATATATATATATATAGATAGATAGATAGATAGATAGATAGATAGATAGATAGATAGATAGATAATTTTTAAGCGCATTTATTTTTAGATAAACACACATTGGCTGAGAGAACTCGATTCGATTTACCAAAGAGTATTGCATTATTAGCCGTAATAGTCACTGTTTATGTATATATATATGTATATATATGTATATACAGGGTGTCCATAAAGTTCGTGCGCACTTTTAAAAAATTATAACTTTATTTGTATTTGCGATAGAAATAATTATTACATTGAGCATTGCGTGCTCTTTTCTAATTTTTCCAAGTTGATTTTCAGATAACAATTCTCTTTTTTAACCTCTAATTGTAAAATAGAGTTTATGATTATGAAGGTCATTTGGCCTGATTGATATGATTGCAATTAATACGATGCAATATTTTTTGTGAGTTCCACTCGAGCAGCTTCTTTCAACGAACCGTTGTTTTGTAGAACTGACTCCCAAGAGGATGCTTCTCCGATCACTGCAATCTTAACCCGTTCAAGTCATGGGTTAACTGTTATCTTCCCCACATAATCCCATAAAATGTGCCTGTTAGTCTACTTTAAGTGGCTCTTGGGCCTTGTTCAAGGTGAATATCATTGTAAAAAAATATGAATGGCCTTTTAATATTTCTGATTTTATTGCTCTAACTTTTTAAATTGTAAGATTAAGTGATGTATTAAAAAATATGTCACTTTCAACTGAAATATGCCATCTCCATCTAATGCAGGGGTCATCAAATGGGGTCTGAGCACCCTCCTAGGGGTTGGTGAGTAGTTCCAGGGGGTCAGTGATAGTCAAGGCGTCAAATGAGGATATGTGTGCGAACGACACTGAGCTAAATTTTAGTTATTGTACGTGTGTGCTGAATTCTTCAGGGCAAATGAAAGAAAGGAACTGAGTCCTACAGAATCAAAAGCCTTAGTTACCTTTATTCAAGTAGCCTTTAATTTATTTTGATGAGATTTATTTAATGCTACATTGAACATAGCTAAAAAGAACAAACGAAGTGCTGCGAAAGGTGGGAAATTGTGGAGAGCCATGATCGACAACGTCCTGAAGGGATACGTCACACAAAAGAAGAAGAACGAGCTTGATTAAAAAGATGGCGGAACCAAGTTTAGGAGAAATAAGAAAAAGACAAAATTTATTAAGAGCTACAAAGGACAGGAAATTGTGGAGAGCCATGATCACACATGTCCTGAAGAGAGAAGTAACATAGAAGGAGCTTGAGTAAATAGTTGGCAGAACAAGGATTAGGAGAGATAAGAAAAAGACAAAATTTATTAAGAGCTACAAAGGACAGGAAATTGTGGAGAGCCATGATCACACATGTCCTGAAGAGAGAAGTAACATAGAAGGAGCTTGAGTAAATAGTCGGCAGAACAAGGATTAGGAGAGATAACAAAAAGACAAAATTTATTAAGAGCTGCAAAGGACAGGAAATTGTGGGGAGCCATGATCACCAACGTCCTGAAGGGTCATGACACATAAAAAAGAAGGGGGGCTTATTATAAATAAACACGTTTAATCATAGATGACAGTCTTGAGAATTTAAAAATAATTTTATAGAATTATAACAAGAGTTTGTGACTTTTTCTATTTTTAAGAATTTTGAATTCTTTTCCGTTGCATATTGGTATTGCAATTTTGTGTTTGTACTTGTGGTCCACCATAAGGGTCATGAGAGTAACATGGATGGACCATGTGGGCAACTAGAAAGTTTTAAGGAAACGGGAAAACAAAAAGTACTATTATACATAAAGGAGGCATTTTCACATTTCTAGGACACATAAGGAAAGAAGACCTGGAAAATACAAGGTTATTGAAAAAGAAGGAACCAATTTCATGACAAATTGCTTCAGTTCTCAAGCATCGTCATGGAATGAGTTAGTGACCATTTGAAAGAAGAGTCTTCTAAGTTTTGAATGGCTGCCAGAGGGGCGTTGTAGTCGCGTCGTATCTCTGGCAACGTTCAGTTGTTTGTTTACCACCGAAATGGCGAGTCCTCAGCAACAGGCGTTCTGCGTACTCGAGTTCGCGAAAGCAAATACGTTTGTCACAGTGCAGCGTGCTTTTCGAAGGCAATTCGACATTAATCCGCCGTCACCTAAGAACATTCGATGGTTGTTTAAACAGTTTCAAAAGAGTGGGTGCCTGTGTAAAAGAAAACGTCCAGAAAGACCATGAGTTTCTAAGAAACGAGGGCGAGAATCCGTGCTGCGTTTAAGGGAAGTCCACGGAAGTCCAGAAATCGAGCTAACCATGAGCTTGCGATCTCTCAATCCCCTATCTGGCGTGTGCTAAGAACATGTCTACATTTGAAAACTTACATACTACACGTCGTTCAGGCACTTACCAAGACCTTGCTCTTTGTATTTGGCCTGCAGACCGCACCGTGTGTGATTTTTTCACGATAAGATCACGTTTACGTTCCCCCGCTACCCACTAATTTCAATGACCTTAAACATCGAATAACAACAGCGATCAACTCAGCGAATCGTCATATGCACGCGTCTGGGAGGAATTTTCTAATCACATTGATGTTGCCTGTGCTGCAGGTGGTGGCCACATTGAACACTTGCAAGACAGGACATAAAAGTTGATTATGAGTAGAACACTACATTAATCGGACTATTGTCCTCATCTTTGTCGCCATATTAACTACAACGTTTGGGCCGTTCAGGTAGTTGGAATGTCGAACTGAACCCTTTATTTCGCTCACTGGGGTAGACTGTTCTAGTTCCACGTACCATGTTTGATGGATGTCAGTTATCAGTTATCTCCTGTTAATTCCCCTCTCCAAGTTCTCCACGGCCTTAACCAGGTATTGAGCTCACACTCTTTGCGTCCTGTCACTGGATCTAACCAACACATTTATCCACTGTGCCATGTGTCCTTGAGGAGACATGGCACGGTTGAAGAAAGCCGGAGCGTACAACGGCCGAAACGTTGTAATAAATATGGCGACAAAGATGAGTCCGAATAATGTAAATAGTGTACATAATACCTCATCTCAGAAATATAGACAGATAATGAGTAGAACACTTGTGACTTGGCTTGAGCTTTCTGTTGCTGTTCGTTATTAAAATGTTGTGCAATGGTTTGGTTTGCTTCAATGGGTTATTTAATTCCGACAAGATTTTTATGGCTGCGAATATTTTTTTCAAAAATATATTGCTGGTATTTTTTTTTCAAAAATGTATTGCTGGAAATAATATTTTACAAAAATGTATTGCTGGTACTAAAACCTATTTTAACACTTTCATTGTGATTTGACCCCAGTTTGGGAGTCAACTATTTGCCCATAGCTGGGACCCTAACAGGTGCTACTACCCCGGGTCAGAATGGGCCTGGGAACAACAGGAATTATAAGGGGTTTCCATGCTCTTCAAAACCTCCTTATCAAAGGCCTTGCTGTTGGATGTTGTTTATCGTCTAACACAGGACGCGGATGTAGTTTATCGTCTTACCCAGGACGCGGGCTGCCACTATCACGCAAGAGAGAGAGTAAGAGTAAAGATGAGTGTTTGAGGAAAAGGATAAATAGAAGTACAGGGATCAAGGTCAAGGCATCAGAAGATGGCGATTGACATTACATTTGAATATTTGAAGATTATAGCTATCAGGGAAGCAAGTGATAGGAAGAGAGTTCCACTGACGCCCCAAGCGAGGCGGGAGTGCCACTAGCACGCAAGGGTTTACAGGGAGTGAGAGTAAAAGTAAAGAGGAGTGTTTGGGAAAAGGATAAAGAGAACGACAGGAATCAAGGTCAAGGCATCAGAAGATGTCGAATGACATTACATTTGAATATTTGAAGATTAGAGCTATCAGGGAGGTGAGAAATGAAATATATATATATATATATATATATATATATAAACGCAATATATATATGCGTTTTTGAACTGCAATCCCAGTTTTAGACAAGTTCGTCAAAGACAACTGGCAAGAAACTGCGGTTAAGCTTTTTATTTAATAATTTAATCTTTGATATTTCTAAGAGAAAATTCGTCTTGTTCATAGTTAACATGTATTTGGCTTTTGTAGAGGATATTAATGTTATCTTTTTTTCATCTGTATGTTCGGTATCGATATTAGTTAGTTTAGAAAGAAATAGTTAAATCGGGTGATCGCTGAGGTAGTTAGTAAAACCATTGTTAACTAGCGTCTGGTTTACATTATTGAGTTCTTTAAGGAAATGGGACGAGAGGATGAATTATCGATTTAAAATATGGAAGCCCTAATAATAAAAAAGGAAAAGCCTGTACTTAATAACATGTACGGACCGTGTTTGGAAAATAAAACATTACTATAACTTCAAACATATACATAAAAGAACACATGTGTATGTGTGTGTAAATATTCACGTACAAATAAATGTTTATATATAGATAAGTATGCAAATTAGGGTGAAGAATTAGTTTTAACTTGGAATTAATTTCAACTCGGAACTAGTTAGAGTTAGGCTTAGGGATTTTAAATCACGTTGAAATTAGTTTCGAGTTGAAATTAGTTCCGAGTTGCAATTAGTTCTGTCATTCTCCAAAATGCCTTTATATATATGTATATAGGATACAATATCAAGTACATCTGTATTACACAAATATTTGTGTGGGTGTATTATAAATATATATATATAAATATATATCCGTATATAAATATATATACATAAATATACATACATATATATATGTATGTATATATATGTGTGTGTGTGTGTGTGTGTGTGTGTGTGTGTGTGTGTGTGTGTGTGTGTGTGTGTGTGTGTGTGTGTGTGTGTGTGTGTGTTATGCCGTCTGTTTTGTGACGCTTAGTACTTCACGGCATTCTATTCTCATATGATTCTGTTCTGAATTTTCCAATTCGTTCACATTTCTCTACACTCACACTATCGGAAGCGTGTATTTCCTTCACTATGCAATATCATACATGATGCTTCAATGCACCAGTGACTCGACTTTCGTTCCGGATATTACGCATTCCCAGTTTTGCCTCCACCGCATACGGTGACGGAAGCCCCGTGTTATTGACAAAACCTGAAATGGCGAAAAACGTCGCCGGCGGGCTGTCAAACATTGCTTTTAATGCGCACTTACAAATATTCATGAAGTGATATTTCAAATGGAGTATTATCTGCTAGTTCACTTGAAGTTAATGCTTACATTTTTTTTGTTCTTTTCCATTCTTTCCTTCTTCTTTTTTTTCGATTATTAGCACTTTATTCACCTTTCTTTTTCTTTTTCTATTTCTTTAACTTTTTCTTCATTCTCCGTTTTTTTCTTCTTTTTTTTCGATTATTAACACTTTATCTTTTTCTTCATTTTTTTCTCCGTCTTCTTTTTTTTTCGATCATTATCACTTTATTCGCCTTTCTTTTTCTTTTTCTTCGTTCTCCCTTTTCTTTTCTTTTTCTTTTTTCGAATATTAACACTTTATTAACCTTTCTTTTTCTTTTTCTTTTTCTTTTTCTTTTCTCTCCGTCTTCCTTTCTCGAAGTTGTAAACGTTTAGTAGTTTCATCGACTGACTCCGCCCGCACCCCGACCGACTGCAGCATTTTGCCATAAAGGCCAAGTCGGTCATGTTTTATTGCCTTATCAAGGAACGCGTTCGCCTCGTGAGTCTGTCTCCAACGATTCCATTGCAAGAAACACGCATGACGAATTGCCAACACAACATGGCGGAGTAAAAACACACCAACAAAAAATAAAGAATGATCTATATCCGTTGTTATGGGATCGTTATGTTGATTCTCACGCTCACAAGAAATGCAAATTTCGACTCAAGGGTGTCAACAAAATATTCCTAGATTTCTCAGTCTTCACTACAGAAACCAGTGCGAAACGCTGACTCTTAGAGTTATTGTCCGCCATTGTTCTCCCAATACAAGGCCCAAGAGCCACTCAAAGTTGAGGATTTCTTTCTTTTTTTTTTAGAATTTTAGTAAGTATGGATAAATGTGCCCGCAATAATACGGGGTGTCAAAAGAATGTTTTTTTCGATGACACTTCTTTTTAAATTGCTTATATTGTTCGGACTGTTCTCCTCATCTTTATTGTCATGTGGTGATCAAAAACTTGGAGAGTTAAAGGGAGGCAACTGAGACATCCAGAAGAGCCATGGCACGTGGAAATAGAACAATCTATTCCGGTGGACCAAATAGAAGGTTCAGTTCGAAATTTCAATCACCTGAAGAAGGCCGGAGTGTACAACGGCCGAAACGTCGTGAACATAAGACAGCAGTTCGAACAATGTAAATAATGTAAATACCTCATCTCAGAAATATAGACATAGACGCTGCTTTTTTTTTATACATTTTCTTTCTTCTTGAGAAGTGACAACAAAAATAATAGACATTATTTATTAGAGTGTTTATTTACACTATTTATTTATTACTTGTTGGTTACTTCAAAATTAAATGTGTCAGGTTACTTAAGAGGGTATTTTAAAATACATGAATTAATAGTGGTGAAAGGGTAGATACACAAAGTAACAGACCAATTGATCTGCAATGCAAGATAACATTTATTGAACAAAATTAACAAAAGGAAAGTTTAAGGAAAAAGTTTCTTTTCCTAGATGTAAATTGTATGCACAACGAAATGTTCAAGAATATATTTCAGTAGGACTTACTGTGTTGGTGTGTTTTAGTGTGAAGCATCCACAGTCCATTTAGTTTCAGTTTGAAAAGTTTGTAGAGGACCGTGTGAGTGTGAGTGTTGTTGTATTAGAAACACGTGCTGTTTATTTCCTGCTAGAAGATCCAACTACAAGAAAATGGCGGACTCAAGTTGAATCCAACCGAAGATGTAAAGAAAACAAACAAGACCGATATATATATATATATATATATATATATATATATATATGTATGTATTAAAACAGCAAATTTACAAGTGACAAAGATATCAACATTTGTGTTTGTGTGTGAACGTAAATTCCAAAATTTCAGGATTGTGAGTCCGGATCCGAACCAGAATGTTTATTAATTTGCTCACGAAGTCGGCCTGATTCCAAAATGGTAAGATATGTTGGGCTAAGGCCTCTAGAAGTAAAGTTGAAAACACGGACAATTTTATTTTGAAATATTGTAATTTGAGGACAATATTTTTTTCATTTCAACATGAGCTATTCAAAGTTAGTGAGTTGTGTCCCTTGAATTTTTTTTATCAATTGAAGCCTGATTCCAAAATGGTATCATATATAGGATTAAAGCTGAAAAAGTGTGACACAATGATACACTCACATTCGCATTTATTATGTATATGAATATATACAGGTTGAATAACGGTTGATACTAGATGTGAGGTTAATACTGTATTGGTCGGGAAAGCACCTTTTCTGTTCCACTGCTTTGTATGTACATACATATATATATATATGTGTGTGTGTGTGTGTGTGTGTGTGTGTGTGTGTGTGTGTGTGTGTGCGTGTTTCATTAAAAACGACAGACAAGGTACTACGGTTAAACTTTATATTTAACTTTTCGAACAAGTGCTTTCTTTTTTGGACACAGTGTATAGAATCTTTCCAAATGTTCTATAATTCCGAACGCTTTCGGCTATACTTTTAGCCATTATCAAGGAGGATTTTATTTTATCAGCTTAATTGAAACTGTGCGTTATGTGTATGTTCATAGTGTGTTATAAAGGGGTTTTATTTTCTGAACACGGTTAGCACATTGTGGCCTAGTTCGTAGTTAATATTGTTAAAAGTTGACATTTTCTTGTTTATTAGGGCTTCCATTATTTTTAATCTTTTTTTTACAGGTGGATGAGATTATTACGTTTGTGTTTTCTACTAGTATGTTTTGAATGCAGTCTGGTAAGTTAGTGTGCGTGTTTAAATGGATTCTAATAGAACTATGTAACGTAAGGCGTCTGGATAGGTATGTAGTTGTGTGACCTATGTAATTATTTATGAATTCGGTTTGATCAGGAACGCAGTTCGTTTAGGGACTATATTTGGGACTCATGAGCAGTGCTTATCCCAGACCGTTACGATACGACGCAAGCGTTATACGACTGTACCAACGGGCCTCGGTGACGAAGAATTAAATCCCTTGTTCGATTTTCAGTAGGCACCTCTTCGTCACCGAGGCCCGTTGGTACAGTCGTTATGACGCTTGCGTTGTTTCGTAACGGTCCGGGTTCGATTCTCGGTAGTGGATGCACACCGCTGATGAGTCCGAAATAAGACGAAACGGCCGTTCAGTACTTTCAGCATTCTGTTGAGGTTTCTTCTAGACTCGATGAATTACTTAATTATGATTATTTCAAATCCTCCTAATAATTTATATCACACACACACACACACACATATATATATATATATATATATATATATATATATATATATATATATATATATATATATATATATATATATATATATATATATATAAAGGGGAAAGAGAAAATAATTGAATATAAAATAACTGATTGAAAATAATTCAAAGAAAATAATTGAATATATAATACAAAATAATACACACACACACACACACACACACACACACTTGGCCTTGAATCGATTAAAATAGGTTTACGGCCATATCACGTTGAAAACAACGGTTCACGTACGATCACCGAAGTTAAGAAACGACCAGCCTGGTTAGTATCAAGTTGGGTGACCGCTAGGGAATACCAGGTGCTGTAATCTTGGACGTGGAGATTGTAAGGCTTACGGCCATATCACGCTGAAACACCGGTTCACGTACGATCATTCAAGTTAAGCAACGTCGAGTCTGTACAGTACCGAAATAGTTAACGACTACCAGGTGCTTTCAGTTTGGATGTGCGGATGGTGTGATTGGTAATGGCACAGAATTGTTAATCGGGGAACCGAGTTCCAATTACCGTTGGTTGGGTAATATTCACTTACACAAAAATACCCTTGGGAAAGGTATGTAACCACCGCTTCTCCTCCCCCAGCTATGGGTTAATTAGTAAGACTTGTATTCCGAAATTATGTCCAAAATAAGTTCTTTCAATTTAAAAACATTTTCTGGCTTTAAATAGCCTACAAAGGGTTGGTATATCGTAGAAAACGATTCAATCAACCGAGTTTAAAATTGCAATGGTCAATCGAGGAAACATTCCAGAAAGTATCTGCTCTTAGGAAGAAGAGGCACTAATGTAACTTCCTCCTTACTAATGGAATATGAAGAGAATGAAGATTGTTCGCCAGTGTTACGGCGGTGGGAAAGTGACTGAAGCCGAGATGTCAAGTTAGGAATTCTTTGGATTTTGAACAGCCGTGTAATATCTTTCTTTTGGACAATCTGATGAAGGCAAGACTTGAAACGACGAATAGTGAGAATACCGTAGACAGAACATTTGAGTAACGAGGTAGTTTTAAGAGGGATGGTAAAGAGGCATACCTAATGAGGACAGAGGATCTGGAGAATTCATCACTCACAAGGCATTTTGAAGGCAATAGAGTCAACGGAAAATAACGAGTAACTTAAAGAGTTTGAGTGAAGATTACGAAATGATGCAGGTTAAGTTAGATTGGCTGATCTTACGACATGTCAACCTTTGTTGGGTTATTTACTATCGAATATTGTTTGTGGCACCCAGTGAGTATCGAACACAACTCACTAATAATGGTCAACCAGACGATTCTTGCTAACCCTGCCAAGGCATCTCAAGGACAAAATTCGAGGTTAAAGACCCAGGTTAACAGTAAACGATAGGAAGTTATAGAGAGCCACGTTCGCCTTTGCCTTTAAATGACTTGGAATATAAAAGTGCTACTCCCTGTAGCCTTGTGCCAGATTGTACCACGAGCGAGTAGGCAACTGTTAGTCGCACAGAAAAATAAATCAGAGAGCCGAGTTCGAATTCCAGTCGAGTTCGTTCCATTCACTTACGCGCAAATACACATTGGGAAAGGCATGAATCCATCTCTTCCTTACGTCTATGGGTTAAATAGTAGAACAGTCTTGATTGTTAACCATTCTAGAGATTGCGAGTCGATAAAACACCAATCCCCCAGCAGCTGGGATTGCTCGCGAAAATACAACGATCCATAAAAATCGCACAGAGACTGAAACTCTAGAGTCGTGTGTGTTGCACATTCTGATGCAAGCGGAGGAAGCGTTTCCCATCATCGCCCTTGCTAAGAATCTTTCTCTTCTCCCCCCTCATCTATAGCGGAGCAGATTGACTTCTCTAGCCGTGGTTTTAAAATTAACAAGCCACTCCTTGCCCCAGTTAACAACGAACTCTAGTTCATTTTTTTTTTTTTTTTTTGGATCACCTGCCAATAATCGAACTGATCAGAAAAAAATCCAATATTTGGTAAGTAAAGCCGCTATGTTGTATGGAAACGAATTCACGGTAAGCTAGCAGAACATTACTACTGATCCTCACTTAGAACTCCATTCATTTGGTCTTATGCCAGACAAAGATTTGTCTTTACTCGCTGACTACTCTTTCGGTAAAAATAAGTAAAGAAGCGAGTCATCTGAAATGAATTTCAAAACGCTGAATATCCGTCACTTGGCGCCACGGATTCTTAACATCCGGGCAGTCGAGCAGGTACAAGTTGTTCTCGTCAAAAGTACGTGAAATTGAAAATTAAAAATTAATTTTGGCAAACAATTAAGATTCTCATCTAAAACTATATGAACTATGTGTTTCCCTGCCGGGAGACATATTTTGTAAATTAATCAAAAATCAATTGCGACCCAAAACATCACATTGTTTTGGGTTCAAATTGGTGCTTCTAAAGAAAACAAAAAAAAACAACAAAAAACAGAAACACACACGTACAAAATAAGACAAACATTTTCCTCTTTCCTCTTTTCACTGTTATTTCTCCACAGACAACAAAAGCATTAGAAGTCTCATAGCATAGATAAAGCAGCAACGTGGTGGATATGAAAAATGAGGTTCTCTATTTTTCTTTTTCTTTTTTTTAAATAAGTAGCGATCCGATTTCATTGTCGTTGTCACGCTAGATCAATTACGACTAGGTAGTGAGTTCGATCCTCAGTGGGTGCCCCAAATTTTCAACCTTGTGCCACAGCTTAGCTACGCTTAGAAAATCACCCAAAGTACTTCGGCGGGGTGTAAATGCTTAACAGGTTTGTCTTGCTACATCAATTACTACTGGGTAGCGAGCTCGATCCTCACCGGCTGCCCCAAACTTTCAACCTTGTGCCACAGCTTAGCTTCACTTACAAAAAAAAACCTAAGGCCTTTGGCGTGGTGTAATGTTTAGCCAACTTGTCTCACTAGATCAATAACGACTGGGTAGTAAGTTCGATCCTCACTGGGTGTCCCATATTTCAACCTTGTGCTCAGCTACACTTAGAAAATCACCCAGGGTACTTCGGCAGGTTGTAATGCTTAACAAGTTTGTCTTGCTAGATCAATTACGACTGGATAGTGAGTTCGATCCTTACTAGCTACCCAATACTTTGAACCTTGTGCCACAGCTTATCTACGCTTAGAAAACTACCTAAGGCCCTCGATTTGGTGTAATGGTTAGCAAGCTTGTCATCCTAGATCAATTACAATTGAGTAGAGTGAGTATTGAGTACTCCACACTTTCGGCCTTGTGCCATATCTGACCTACGATTAGAAAATCATCATTATCATTTTCTTCATAAATTAAGTAGCCAGCTCCACACACCCCATCATCAACGATCACTTGCTGGTACATCTGAATGGTAAGCATATCGAACCAGCAGATTAGAGAGTTTCTTTTCAAATCACGTCATATGAGGCACGGTGGATAACGTCTCGGTTTGAGGAATCGGAGAACAGATTTCAAATTCCAATCATTACATTCACTTATGTGCAAATACCCTTGATAAAAGTATGACTCCACCTTTTCCTCCCCACTCCCGCTATGGGTAAATAGCAGAACAGCTAGGGCTTATAGACGAGGAGAAGGAAAACTAAATTAAAACCAGCCTGGAGACTATTTGGCACCCTCAGACTTTCTTGCCAAAGAAAACGCCATTACAGTCGCGCTGCATGTAGGGCTGCATACCCAGGAAACGCCACTACTGTGTCGGTGCATATGGGGCTGCATGCCCAGGAAACGCTACTAATGTGGCGCTGCATATGGGGCTGCATGCCCAGTAAACGCCACTACTGTGGCGGTGCATATGGGGCTGCATGCCCAGGAAACGCTACTACTGTGGCGCTGCATATGGGGCTGCATGCCCAGGAAACGCTACTACTGTGGCGCTGCATATGGGGCTGCATACCCAGGAAACTCTACTAATGTGGGGCTGCATTTGGGGCTGCATGCCCAGGAAACGCCACTACTGTGACGCTGCATATGGGGCATTATGCCCAGGAAACGCTACTACTGTGGCGCCGCATATGGGGCTGCATGCCCAGGAAAGCTACTACTGTGGCGCTGCATATGGGGATGCATCCCAAGGAAACGCTACTACTGTGGCGCTGCATATGGGGCTGCATGCCCAGGAAACGCTACTACTGTGGCGCAGCATATGGGGCTGTATGCCCAGAAACGCTACTACTGTGGCGCTGCATATGGGGCATTATGACCAGGAAATGCTACTACTGTGGCGCTGAATTTGGGGCTGCATGCCCAGGAAACACCACTACTGTGGCGCTGCATATGGGGCTGCATGCCCAGGAAACGGTACTACTGTAGCGCTGCATATGGGGCTGCATGCACAGTAAAGGCTACTTCTGTGGCGCTGCATATGGGGCTGCATGCCCAGGAAATGCTACTACTGTGGCGCTGCATATGGGGCTGCATGCCCAGGAAATGCTACTACTGTGGCGCTGCATATGGGGCTGCATGCCCAGGAAACGCTACTAATGTGGCGCTGCATATGGGGCTGCATGCCCCGTAAACGCCACTACTGTCGCGCTGCATAATGGGTTGGATGCCCAGGAAACGGTACTAATGTGGCGCTGCATTTGGGGCTGCATGCCCAGGAAACGCCACTACTGTGGCGCTGCATATGGGGCTGCATATGAGGCTGCATGCCCAGGAAACGCTACTACTGTAGCGCTGCATATGGGGCTGCATGCCCAGGAAATGCTACTACTGTGGCACTGCATATGGGGCTGCATGCCCAGGAAACGCTAATACTGTGGCGCTGCATATTGGGCTGCATGCCCAGGAAACGCTACTAATGTGGCACTGCATATGGGGCTGCATGCCCAGTAAACGCCACTACTGTGGCGCTGCATATGGGGCTGCATGCACAGGAAACGCTACTACTGTGGCGCTGCATATGGGGCATTATGACCAGGAAACGCTACTACTGTGGCGCTGCATATGGGGCTGCATGCCCAGGAAACGCTACTACTGTGGCGCTGCATATGGGACATTATGACCAGGAAACGCTACTACTGTGGCGCTGCATATGGGGCTGCATGCACAGGAAAACGCTACTAATGTGGCGCTGCATATGGGCATTATGACCAGGAAACGCTACTACTGTGGCGCTGCATATGGGGCTGCATGCCCAGGAAACGCTACTAATGTGGCGCTGCATATGGGGCTGCATGCCCAGGAAACGTGGCTGCACTAAACGCCACTGTGGCGCTGCATATGGGGCTGCATGCCCAGGAAACGCTACTACTCTGGCGCTGCATATGGGGCTGCATGCCCAGGAAACGCCACTAATGTGGCGCTGCATATGGGGCTGCATGCCCAGGAAACGCTACTAATGTGACGTTACATATGGGCTGCATGCCCAGGAAACGCTACTACTGTGGCGCTGCATATGGGGCTGCATACCCAGGAAACGCTACTACTGTAGCGCTGCATATGGGGCTGCATGCCCAGTAAACGCTACTACTGTGGCGCTGCATATGTGGCTGCATGCCAGGGAAACGCAACTACTGTGGCGCTACATATGGGGCTGCATGCCCAGGAAACGCTACTACTGTGGCGCTGCATATGGGGCTGCATGCCCAAGAAACGCTACTACTCTGGCGCTGCATATGTGGCTGCATGCACAGGAAACGCTACTACTGTGGCGCTGCATATGGGGCTGCATTTACAGTAAACGCTACTACTGTGGCGCTGCATATGGGGCTGCATTTACAGTAAACGCTACTACTGTGGCGCTGCATATGGGGCTGCATGCCCAGGAAACGCTACTACTGTGGCACTGCATATGGGTCTGCATGCCCAGAAACGCTACTACAGTGGCGCTGCATATGGGGCATTATGACCAGGAAACGCTACTACTGTGGCGCTGCATATGGGGCTGCATCCCCAGGAAATGCTATTACGGTGGCGCTGCATATGGGTCTGTATACCCAGGAAACGCTACTTATGTGGCGCTGCATATGGGGCTGCATGCCCAGTAAACGCCACTACTGTGGCGCTGCATATGGGGCTGCATGCCCAGGAAACGCTACTACTGTGGCGCTGCATATGGGGCTGCATGCCCAGTAAACGCCACTACTGTGGCGCTGCATATGGGGCTGCATGCCCAGGAAACGCTACTACTCTGGCGCTGCATATGGGGCTGCATGCCCAGGAAACGCTACTACTGTGGCGCTGCATATGGGGCTGCATGCCCAAGAAACGCTACTACTCTGGCGCTGCATATGTGGCTGCATGCACAGGAAACGCTACAACTGTGGCGCTGCATATGGGGCTGCATTTACAGTAAACGCTACTACTGTGGCGCTGCATATGGGGCTGCATGCCCAGGAAACGCTACTACTGTGGCGCTGCATATGGGGCTGCATTTACAGGAAACGCCACTACTGTGGCGCTGCATATGTGGCTGCATGCCCAGGAAACATTAAAGATTAAGTGATTTAAGAAAAAAATATGATGGACCGTTCCTGCTTCTCCCGTTTCGAATTTAGTGATATAGCGGACCATTTTTAAATTTGTCTCAGCATTCTCATTTACTAGGTGGTTGAATTTTGCATATCAGCACTTGTTGGGTTGGATATGGGACACCCAGTGAGGATCGCTTGATTGATTGATTCGTTTATTACGGCTTATCAACGCTTTGAAGTTTATTTAAAGCCAGAAAATTTAAATTGAAAGAATTATTTTTGAGACAATAAAGGTTTAGTGATACTAATTAACCGATAGCTTGGGGAGAGAAGAGATGAATTCGTACCTAATCAGAATTTGATAAACAAACAAGAAATAATGTGGATATAAAGTGGGGGTTCAATTCTATATCTTAATCGATACATAAACTGATCCATCACTTTGTGACCGCTATAGGTTCTATATATTTATATTTCAGATAATGTAAATTAATCTAAAAGACATGCCTACAAGAAATTATAAAGTGGTTATAAAGTGGGGGATGAATTTTATATTACAATCGATACATAAACTGATCCCTCAGTTTGTGATCACTATAGTTTCTATACATTCATATTTCAGAGAATGTAAATTAATCTAAAAGACATGCCTACAAGAAATTATAAAGTGGTTAAAAAGTGGGGGCTCAATTTTATATTACAATCGATACATAAACTGATCCCTCACTTTGTGATCACTATAGTTTCTACACATTCATATTTCAGAGAATACAAACTGATCTCTCACTTTGTGATCACTATAGTTTCTATACATTTATATTTCAGAGAATGTAAATTAATCTAAAAGACATGCCTATGTAGATAATATTTTCTACGGTTTACCAACCCTTTAAAGCCAGAGTTTGTTTTTGTTTTTTTAGATTGTAAGAATTTTGCCTTTAGACAATAATGGTTACTAAACTTACTAATTAACCCATAGCACAGGACGAGAAGAAAAAGATTCATACCTTTTCCCAACAAGGTTATTTGCGCGTAAGTGAATATAACGATCCCAACTGGAATTGGAACTCTGCTCTCCGATGAGCAATACTGAGCCATTATCCATTACACCACCCCCGCACCCAAGCTTACAGCACCTGGAATTCCTAAACGGTCACTAATCCAGCTACTAACCAGGCTCGTTGTTTCTTAACTTCGATCATCGTACGGGAACAGGTGATTCAACATGATATGGCCGTAAGCTCAGTGAGGACGGAACTCACTACTCAGGTATTCAACACAGTCTGACCTCGTTAACCATCACTCCAAATCAGTTGTTTTTACATGTATTGGGCTATATAATGTCGAATAAATTTTGTTTGTGGCACCCAGTGAGGATCTAACTCACTACTAATTAGTAGTGGCCAATCGGTCAATGTAAGCTGACCATTTCTCCACGCAGAAAAGGCTATACGGTTATTTCAACCACGTACTGTCAAATTTTGTATGAGGCACCTAGTGAGGATCAAACTCTCTACTATGGTCAACTAGGCTAACTTAGAAAGTAGAAAGTGTAATTTCTTTACAAGTCAACCATTTTTGGGTTATATAATGTCGAATTTTATATGGGGTAACCAATGTGTAAGACTCACTACGATATAACAATGGTCGACCAGGCTAGCTTCGCTAATGCATTACCCCACATCAAAAAGTTTACGTTAGTTGTAAACGCTTTTGTGTTGTATAATGGTGAATGTTGTATGCGGCACCTAGTGAGGATCAAACTTAGTACTCATTACACTTTGTCGAAAGGTTTACGTTGGTTTTCACCACTTTTGGGGTTATATTAAATTGCTACATAAATTTGTTCGTTTTTCATAATTTATTTTAATATTTATTATATATATATATATATATATATATATATATACGCCACATACACATACATATATTTACATTTTTGTGTGTAACAATTGAGGGGTAATGTGTAAAATAACGATGACCCACCTGATGACGTGCTAACTTATATATATATATATATATATATATATATATATATATATATATATATATATATATATATATATATATATATATATATATTGTATATACCAGTTTAAATGTCCTTTGGGAGATTGTATCTCTGACAAAAGTAAGTACATATGTTGGGTTGACGACCACAACATTATCAAGACGTCTTATACTTTATTTGTTGAATACAAGTTCTATTACACAACATTTAAAAACACATTCCTGTCCACCTCCAAAATACAGGAAAATACTTGTTGATAACACCAATATACAACGCCATGAAAATAAGCAAAAAATTCAAATTCTCGAAACCCTCTATATCAAAATCAACCAACCAACACTCAACAAAATTTACTACAAGTGTAGCAACAACATGTTGAAGTGCATTTAATTAACCTTTAATGCCATTTTGCATTTCTATCAGTTTCTGCTTAATTCCTTTATATTGGAACACTTGTTTTACAAAAAAAAATTCATTATTACAACGGATAACTTTCACGTTCACGTGTGTTTTTATAAATCACCAAGACAACGATCCCTGTCACAATAAGTTTGTTTATTAATTCACCCCGAGGATGATCACAGAGAAGATTGAAAGTATTTGGGTAGGAAAAAAATGCGGCGATTTCTTTGATGAATTACATCTTAGCAGCAAGAAACTAATTGCAGAACTAGAAAGGATTATTATAAAAATAAATCGATATAATGTTATTCAATGAAACATGTTTAAAAGATGATATGCTGCATATATATATATATATATAAACAGTGCTCGATACAGAAGTAGATCATAAATTATAATTATTTTTTTTAAATATGATCCCATCATGATACAGAAATTACTGTTTCGAAACTTGGTTCAAGCCCAAAAGTTTAATTTCAATATTAAACTTAAAAATTTAAACGGAAAAATTTAAACTTAAAAATTTAATTTCAATATTAAACATAAAATTTAGAGTACAGTTTCATTCTCAAGCTTGTGTAAATTTTATGTTTAATGTTTCGAAACAGTACTTACTGTGTCGTGATGGAATCATATTTTTTTAAAATAAACACAAATATATATATATATATATATATATATATATATATATTCAGTTGTATTGATATTAGTTTGTAAACCTGGGCTTCACGCATTTACGATCATCAGAGTTTGTCTGACGATCGCAAACTAATATCCATACAACTGAATATGTTAGCTCAATCACAGATATTGAGCACTTTCACTAAGTACTGCCCATATAATACACACACACACACACACGCGCGCATATATATATATATATATATATATATATATATATATATATATAGAGAGAGAGAGAGAGAGAGAGAAAAGAGAGAGAGAGAGAGATTGGTGTGAGTTTGTGACCCTGGGTTTCACGCTACTTGCGATCGTCAAACAAAGTGATTAATTTTTAAAAATTGTGGGCTTATATATGGTTGTGTATATCGGTGTTTTTACGGTAGTGAGAGAAAAAATTGTCGTCGGAATGCCACTCATACGTACGTAGACATACATACACGCACGCTTTCCAGTAAGTACCGCGCATATATAATATATAAATAATATATATAAAAATTACACACATATACATACACACATATATATATATATATATACATACACATTTTACACACACATATATATACATACACATTTTATACACACACACACATAAATATATACATACACATTTTATACACACACATATACACATACTCATTTTACACACACACACATAAATATATACATACACATATTATACACACACACACATATATACATACACATTTTACGCACGCACACATATATATATACATACACATTTAACACACACACACACATATATACATATTCATTTTATACACACATATATATATATACATACACATTTTATACACACACACATATATATACATACACATGTTACGCACAAACACACACATATATATACATACACATTTTACACACACATACACACACACGCATATATATACATACACATTTTACACACACACACACACACACATATATATATATATACACATTTTTCACACCCACATACGCATATATATATATATCAAATGGTATCGAAGTGCTGTCTGATAAGCTTCAAATAATGCTGATGAATATACAACTGAATAAAATGTAATTGTATTTTATTTTTTTAAGTATAAAATCGATAAACGAGAAAGGAAATTATATATGACTCAACTAAATATATTTATTTTTACAACAGAGGTGTAGGATTTTTGCCAAGTTCAAAATACCAACCAGCTGTCTGTAATCTGTAAATCGCAAAGGTTATTAAGTAAAAAGTTAGGTTCCCCCTGAAGTCTTTAAGAATAGATCATTGCAAGGATGGTCACAAAAAAAAAGAGTTCGAATGTATCTTTTAATAAGCGTCATTAATTATTCAATAGTCGCCCAAGGCTTTGGCTATAATTGGACGAACAAGGAGAATTGCAAAAACATATCTACCCTGAGTCGAGAACACTTAGCATACAGGGACTTGAAGAGCTCTCGAAATATGTAGCTATTGAATAATAAACAAAAGAAAGCTGGGGTCATTCTTGGGCAAGCATATCATTCCGTGGGAAGTTGCGGCGAAGAGACCTTGCACGTGCTACAGAACTTACGAGGCTGCGTTGAAATGAAGGCAAGAGCGAAAAATTATGAGCGTTACGAATTGGAGATGTAAAAATTATGCAACTCCAGAAATGTAATTGTCCGGGCAAGGTTTTATCAGAAGAGGGGAACGTGGCATCAAAATACGAAGGCGTATTGGAATATCGAAAGATGCCTTCGAAAAGCTGAACAAAGTATTGAGAAACAAGAAAATTTAGTTCGAAACAAAGAACAGTTATTTGAAATATTATGAAGACACTTGAAGTGATAGAAAAAAAGAAAAGAGTACTGAACTGTTATGGAATATCAGTCCTACAATATGGTAGAGAACTATGGACAATCTCATCACAGATGAAGAAGAGACTTGAAACAAAGTGTACTGGAATGTTATGAAATATCAGTCCTCTTATATGGCCGTGAATGCTAGACAATCTCTTCAAAGTTGAAGAAGAGACTTGAAACACAATGTACTGGAGAGTTATGAAATATCAGTCCTATTATATGTCCGTGAGTGCTAGACAATCTCTTCACAGTTGAAGAAGAAAATTGAAACAAAGTGTACTCGCCTGTTATGAAATATCAGTCCTCTTATATGACCGTGAATGCTAGACAATCTCTTCACAGTTGAAGAAGAGACTGAAACAAAGTGCACTGGACTGTTATGAAATATCAGTCCACTTATATGGCCGTGAACGCTAGAGAATTTCGTGACAGATGAAGAGACTTGAAACAAAATGTACTGGACTGTTATGAAATATCAGTCCTCTTATATGGCCGTGAATGCTAGACAATCACATCAGAGATGAAGAAGAGACTTGAAATAAAGTGTACCTGAGAGTTATGAAATATCAGTCGCCTTTTATATTTTTGAATGCTAGACAATCTCTTCACAGTTGAAGAAGAGACTTGAAACAAAGTATACTGGAATGTTATGAAATATCAGTCCTCTTATATGGCCGTGATTGCTAGACATTCTCTTCACAGATGAAGAAGAGACTTGAAACAAAGTGTCCTGGACTGTTATGAAATATCAGTCCTCTTATGTGGCTTTGAATGCTAGACAATCTCTTAAGAAATGAAGAAGAGACTTGAAACAATGTGTACTGGACTGTTATGAAATATCAGCCCTCTTATATGGCTGTGAATGCTAGACAATCTCTTCACAGATGAAGAAGAGTCTTGAAACAAAGTGTACTGGACTGTTATGAAATATCAGTCCTCTTGTATGGCCGTAAATGCTAGACAATCTCATCACAGTTGAAGAAGAGACTTGAAACAACAGAAACAAAGAAAATACAAGTGAACAGTTACTTAATATCAGTCCTCTTTATGGCAGTGAATGCTGGTCAATCTCCTCAAAGATGAAGAAGAGACTTGAAGCAACGGAAATGTGGTTCTACAGAAGGATGTTGAGAATACTATGGACCGAACACCTGAGCAACAGCGAAATTTTAGAAAAAATGGAAACAAAATGTACACTTATAGTTAGCATCAGGAAGAAACGGTTGAACGGTCTTGGAAATGAGGAAAGAGGGCTTGGAAAATTTGATACTCACAGGACTGACTGATGATAAAAGGGACAGAAGAAACAACGTATA